CATCTTAAATGAGGGGTGGGGGCCTTATTTTGAAATTGTGTCCCCCAACTCCAGGCTCCTATTTAAGGGAAGCAACTTCTCAGCATCCAGCCTGTCAATCCCCCTCACAGGTTTGTGATTGCTGTTGGTAAGGGTTTAAACTAACTTGGTGGTGGGGTTCATGAGAGAATGTTCAGCAGGGGAGGATGAATGGCCAAAATTAGAATCAACAACAAGCGAGCCAGGAAGGCATAGGCATTATAGGCCAGTTAAGGCAAAAGAGAGTTTGTTAAGGGTGCATAGTATTTATTTTAACACTAGGAGTCTGATGAAAGTTGTTGATAGGTTGAGGGCACAAATGAAAACATGATGTTATTGCTGTCACTGAGACATGGTTAAGAGAGGGGCAGGTTTGACAGCTCAATATTCCAGGTTACAGGGTGAGACAGGAAAAGAGGGATGACAGCTTCGAAGGCACCTCAAATGAAGCTTTATGGGTAGAACTTAAAAACAAAAAAAAAGCAACCACTTTGCTGGGAGTATATTTATAGGCCCCTTAACAGTCTGAGAGAAATAGAAGAGCAGGTATGTAGGCAAATTTCAGGGAAGCATAAAAGGGCAGTGATAGTGGGGGATTTCAACTTCCCCCACATTAACTAGGGTAGTCATTGTGTGAAAGGTTTGGAGGGAGCAGCTTCTTAAAATACATCCAGGCCAGCTTTTTAAGCCAGCGTGTACAGGTCCTACAAAGACAGCAGGGAGTCTTGGGCTTTACTCAGGTGATGAAGTTAGGCAAGTCATTGAAGTATCAGTGGGAGAGCATTTTGCAGACAGCAATGATCACTCTGTTAGGTACAAGATTGTAACGGCAAAGGATAAGGATAGACCTGAAATCAAAGTTATCAACTGGGAGAAGGCTGATTTTAATAAGATCAGATATGTTTGGTCAGAGTGGACTGGGTGCAGATACGTTCGGGTAAATCTGTATGACAGCAGTGGCAATGCATTCAAGAAGGGAATATGGAGAGTACAGGGCCAACATGTTCCAAGAAAGAAAAAGGGTGGGACCATCAAATCCTGTGAACGCTGGATATTGAGGAATTTACAGGATTTGATTAAGAGGAAAAGGGAGGCTTATTGCAGATCCCATGGGCTCAAAGTAACAGAAGCCCTCGAGGATCATGGAGGGGAAATTAAAAAGATTAGAAGAGCTAAAAGGGGTTATGAAAGGAAATTGGTAGGTAAGATAAGGGAAAATCCTAAATTGTTTTACAGGTACATTAAGGATAAAAGGATAACAAGGGAAAGAGTAAAGCCATTAAGGACCACAGTAATAATTAGTATGTGGAGCGCTCATTTCAAATTTCAAATCAGTGACTTTTACTGAAATTCAAATTGACAGAATTGAAGGCATATTATTGAGCTGGTATTTGCTAATGTGGTAGAACAGAGATATTAATATATATATATTCAAACTGAAAGGAAGGAAATGTTGGTGTCCCACAAGGATCTATGCTGGAGCCTTAACTTGCTGTTCCTGTCATCACAGCTCTCTGTATACAACTCTCTAACACTTATTTTGCATTATTCTACAGACGAGTTTTTAGGTATGATATTTTTGAAAGTATTTTAGATATTCCAATTGCTTGGCCTATTTCCATAGTTCTCAGTACAACCTGAGATCTACCTACTTTTACTATTCTGTTTGAGTACAGAAGGCAACAAGTGGTAAGAACCTTGTAACAGAGTACAGCATACTTATCAATGCACAATGTTCCAATTAAAAAAGCCACAAGCAAAACATTGCAAGGATATTCCCAAGAATTCAGTGTTTTGTTCTGCATGGCCCAGGTCCTTGGAGTTACAAGGTCCTTAGAGTTCTCTTAATCTAATCCTGTAAATTCCTCAATATCCAGCGTTCACAGGATTTGACAGCCACCCCTTTTCTTTCCTGGAACATTTTGGCCCTGCACTCTCCATATTTCCTTCTTGAATGCAACCCACTGCTGTCATACAGATTTACCTGAATGTATATGCACCCAGTCCACTCTGACCAAATCATATCTGATCTTATTAAAATCAGCCTTCTCCTAATAACGGCCTGTCCTGGACTTCCCACATAAATGCAACAGACAAAAAGGCACAACAACACCTCTTCTTCCTCAGGTGGCTCAGGAAATTTGGCATGTCCATAAGGTCCCTCATCAACTTCTACAGATGCACCATTGAAAGCAAACTGTCCGGGTGCATAACGGCCTGGTATGGCAACTGCACTGCCCAGGACTGTAAGAAACTACAGAAGGTGGTGTGCACAGCCCAGACCATCATAGAAGCCAACCTTCAACCAATGGACTTTATTTACATGGCTCGCTGCTGCAAAAAGGCGGCCAACATCATCAAAGACCCATCGAACCCCGGTAATGACCTCCTACAACCTTTTCCGTCAGGCAGAAGATACAGAAGCCTGAACACTCGCACCAGCAGGTTCAGGAACAGCTTCTTTCCAGCCATTATCAGACTGATGAATGGATTCTAGCCTCAAATAATTAACCTGCAATGTAACCTGTACGCCTCTCAGTCTGTTTGATCTTTGCTTGCTGTGATCTGCCTGTACTGCTGGTAAACAAAGCTTTTCACTATATTTCAGTACACGTGACAATAAAATCAATCGGAAAATTTGACAGGGCATCCAAAGCAAATAAGCTCTCCCTGACAATCAATAATGAGGTCAAACAGGGAAACACTGAACGGGGAAGAATATCTCAGCACCCTCACTTTTTCCAGTGCACTCACCCAGAATGAGAAGAATATAAACAGTTTTGTTTCTAATCTCCACCCTTCCCTCACCTTCACATGGTCCATTGCTTACATTTCCCTTCCTGGATTTCTGAGGATACTAACATTCACTGTAACTACACAGTCTCCCTCAGTTACCACAACTCACTTGCTCAGCCCCTGCCTCTTAGGGAGACTGCATTCCACTGTCCCGGTTCTCTCTGTATCATCTGTTCCAATGAAAGACCCTAGGGGTGCAGGTACATTGCCTATTTGCGACATCACTCTCAAGGAACTGAGTGGTGAAGAAAGAATTTGGCACATTTGCCTTCATTGTTCAGAGCACTCTATAGGAGTTGGGACGTTATGTTGAGCTTGTACAGGACATTGGTGAGACCACTTTTGAAGAACTGTGTACAGTTCTAGTCACCCTGCTGTAGGAAGGACGTTGTTACACTGGAAAGAGTGCAGAAAAGATTTACAAGGATATGCTGGGACTGGAGAGTTTGAGTTATAAGGAGAGGCTGGACATGCTAGGACATTTTTCACTGGAGCGTTAGAGGCTGAAGGGTTACCTACAGAGGTTTTTAAAACCTTGAGGGGCATAGATAAGGTGAATAGCAAAAGTCTTTTTCCTAGGGTAGGAGTGTCCAAAACTAGAAGGCATGGGTTTAAGGTAAGAGGGGAAAGATTTAAAAGGCACCTGAGGGGCAACTTTTCACACAAAGGATGGTACATATTTGGAACGAATCGCCAGAGGTGGGTACAACCACATTTAAAAAACATTCAGATAGGCACATGAATAGGAAAGGTTTAGAAGAATGTGGAACAAATGCAGGCAAATAGGACTAGTTTAGTTTGGGAAGTCTGGTCGGCATGGACAAGTTGGGCCAAAGGGCCTGATTCTGTGCTATATGACTTCATGGCTATATGTTTCTGTCTCTGTGACCTGGCCTGTCTCTGATCCAGTATCTCAATGGAGTTGCCGAACCCGTCATATTCCTGTGTAGGTTTGTCTATTCCAATGCATTCCGGGGTTATGTTCTGCATTCTGTACTCTGTAAGTGGGAGGCCAAACATGTTTGCAACCATTGCCTGAACACATACACCAAATTGTGTTTCCACTCCTCCACATGTCCCAACACATTCTCTCCACCCTCATAGCTGACACAACCCGACCTCTCTAAACCCCCATCCCCCTTGCACCCAACCCCCAAATCTCCAAACCTTCCCTCTGACTCCCACCAACCAGCATCCCTCTAACACTTTCATAACCCTCCCCTCTCTCAGCATTCGAATACAGGAAGATGACGTCTTGCTGCAAGCGCACAAGGTTTTGGTGAGACCACAACGGGAGTGCAGTGTGCGGTTTTGGTCTCCTTATCTGAGGAAGGATGTTCTGGTGATGGAAGGAGTTCAATGAAGATTTACCAGACTGACTCCTGGGACTTACATATGAATAGAGACTGGATCACTTTGGGTTACATCCTCTGGAGTTTAGAAAAGTGAAGTGGAAATCTCAGATATCTATGAAATTCAAACAGTAGACTGGGTAAACACAGGAAGGATGGTTGTGATGATGTTCAGGTACAGGTAGTGTATTTCAGACTGAGATGAGAAGAAATCTCTCCGTCCAGAGTGGTGAGCCTGTGGAATTCTATTTTATGCCAAAACATTGAAGAAAGACATAGAGAAGCTCTCAGGGCCAATGGGATCAGAGAGCATGGGTAGAAAACACAAGCAGGGGTATTGAATTGGATCATCAATCACGATCATATCGAACAGAAAGTGGCTTCAATCGGCTGAACAGTCACTATTGGCTCCAATGTGTCTATGTCGATCTCACTTCTGCCCCAACCCACTCTACTCCAGCTGACCTCCCACCTTGTTTTACCCCATTCACTCTTTCCCCTGCCCTTTCTCCCACCTTCTCCCCACCCCCTCTCCCACCTTCTCCCCACCCCCTCTCCCACCTTCTCCCCACCCTCTACCCCTCCACCTCTTCCCCCACCCTCTCCCGCCAACCCTCCTAACCCTCTCCTCCCCACTCCTTCCTCCCCCCACCCCTCTCTCCTCCCTCCCCCACCCCCACCTTCTCTCCCCCAACTTCTCCTCACCCTCTCCCACCAATTGCTGTTACCTTCATAACGCGGCCCCCTCCCCCGGTCTCCATGGTGACTAGCCCCGCCCCGCCCCCGGTGATGACGCGAGACGCTGGATGACGCGGGCGGTGATAGGCTGGCGGTGTTGCGTGCTGACGCCATGTGGCCGTGTTGATGCTGTCCATCCCCAGTGCCGGGCCCGGGGCCTGAGCGATTACCTCCGGGAACCCTGCCTCAGCTTCACCCACTGCGTGCGGCCTGCAGTCCCGGCCTGTCGTGCTACCTAGTCCCCGTGCTCTCTCCCGGTGCCAACCTGCCCGGGCTGCGGTAGGTAGCGGCTCAGCTTTACCCTCAGCAGCACACACCCCCCCCGGGGTTTGACTGGTCCCTTACACAGGGGCCTAGCTTCCGACCGTGACCCTGGGCTCTGATCACCTCTTGACCAGTGACCTCTGACCTTCCCTTGACTAGTGACCTTTGACCTCACCTTGAATACTGACTGATGGCCTGCTTGACCAGTGACCTCTGACCTCCCCTTGACTAAGGACCCCTGACTTTTCCCTTGGCAGTGACTGATAACTTCTGACCCCCTTTACCCAGTGACCGATGACTCCTCTTGATTGGTGACCTCTGGCACTGCCTTGACTTGTGACCTCTGACCTTCCAGTGACTGACGACCCTTCAGCTGCTCCCATCCCCACACACTTGACTACTGACAATGACCTCACCTGGCCACTGACCTCTTCCTCTAATCCTTAGCCGGTCACTGCTGATTCCCTTCTTGACTGTTTACTGTTATTCCTCCACCCTACTTTAACTAATGACCTTTGACCCCCAATTGAGAACTCCCTCAGCAATGACCCCCATCATCCTTGACTGGATGACTTAATCCCCTCCTCGATCAGTCACTGCTGATCCCCACTCCACCCTTGACCAGTCAACACTAGCCTTTGACCTCTCAAAGCTAATGCAGTGACCTTGTGAGTGTCAGGCCAGCCTGAGTTTCGGCTTCACCTTAATGCTTCCACTCACGTTATCAATGTCACTCAGATGCAACACTTTCAGCTGCTGTCAGTCTGCCATGGCCGCAGTAAGAACTCGTATTAGACCTCTGCTTAACAGCATCTTGCACCAGCAGCAGAATATTCCTGAATGCTTCAGATCTGGGGTGATCGAGTCAGCTGATGCGTAGCCTGGAAGCTGGAAAGGGAGGTGTTGGAAGAGCAGATGGGTTTGAAGGGATTATTGGAGCAGAGTTAGGGGATCAGATCACTGAAGACTCCATTCCTCATGTGAAGCAGAACTAGTGAGACCACTGTAGACTAGAGTTTGTAGGCTAGATGACCTCAGATGGAAATTGATGGTATTGATATTGAACTGGATCTGGAAATTGAAATTGTGTTTGCATGTAAGTGCAAGACTTCTTTTTATTCTCAACGTTTTTTAAAAGTTGAGAGAAGTTAATATTCAGCGGAACTTACAAGGAATGCAACATTTAACATTCAGCTCTTTCAAGCAATTTGGAAGGCAAATAGCATGTTGAACTTTTTTGCAAGGAGATTGGAATAAAGAAGCCTCGCTTTGTTTTACAGAGTTTTGATGAGATCGCATCTGGAATAGTGTGCGCAGTCTTACTTTCGCCCATCCCTCAAATAGGACCAGTATTCTATGGAGTTTAGAAGAACGAGAAATGAAAAGACATTTGACAGGGTAGATGTTGGAAAGTTGTTGCCCCGGCAGCAGGGACGGTGCGCAGTCTCGGAAGCATGGGGCTGACCATTTAGGGCTGGGGTGAGGAGAAAGTATTCGTCCAAAAGGCTCTGAATCTTTGGAATTTTGTGCCCTGGAAGATTGTTTGAGGCTGAGGTAGACGGTATCCCAGGGAATAATTTATCTCGGGATATGGGAAGTGGGAGGAAAGTGAGGTTGAAGCCCAAGGTTAATCATGATGGTATTGAATGATGGAGCAGACTTGAGGGACTGAATGGCCTACTCCTATTACTTGGGTGTCCACTGCGCTGTGAGGCAAGTAGGTGAGATCAGGTTTAGGTGGGAAATTTGTTGAAGGAGGGTTGGTCTTGCTAGTGCTCCAGCTGAGGAACCCTCTGGGTGGTTGGGGAATCAAGGACAGTGTCTACTACCAGCCTGTGCCTCACCGAACAGGGTAATTGACACCATAAATGAGAAGCAGCATGTAGTGATCATCTTGCCCCCACCACTGTCTCTGCCCAGCAATACATCATCCTGCTATTATACAGCACAAAACATTCTCTTTCCTGTGGATTTCCTGGTTACATTGCAGTTTAACTGAAAGGGAGCTATTCTTAACTAAAATTCCAGGTGACAGTACTGATCACCCTTGCTGTTGTGTGAAGTATGCTGCAGAAGTTGTTGCTGCTTTTACTGGCTCTAGTGCTGTTTGTTTCAGATCTCCAGCATCTGCAGTTCTTTGTTTTATTTTAGTGTTAATGTAACTTGCTATTAGAAATGCAGCTGATTTTGACATTTGTTTTCTCGCTTGTAGACATCAATTAGAATGGCTGCAAGATTTATTATACATGCGTGACTGCATGTTTCATTGCTGCTCTGCTGCCACTGCTCATACTGTTTTTAGTTACTGCTTCAGATCTTAAGTTTGGGTGCTCAGTGGCAAGGTAAAAGATTTCTGATCTTTCAGCATTGGCTCCATGCGTTTGATCAGTCAATGCCTGAGTCTCATTTCACTTTGAGTGCAGATAACTATAATCTGAGTGCAAGTGCTTTCTGTATGTTGCTACAAGGTAAATCGATAAATATTTCTCACCTGAGATTTAAAGACCCTGATTGTCTTCCTGCCAATAATCTACAGGCAAACCATGCTGAGTAAGCAGAAGGTGTAAATGTTGGGCAAAGCCCAGATGATAGATATCGTAATAAGCATCCAGCATGATTTGAGAGAGATTCTGTAAGGGTCAATCTGATGAATAAATGAGTTCTTAGTAAAAGCCTGCAGCTACAAGGATTGTCAAGCTGCAGGGGTGTTATCACAGTACTGTGCTTTGAGTGACAGCAGTGCACAGAGATCAGAAATTTTGAACCTAGCACCAGTTTGTAATTTTCAGTTGAAATATGCATGACGTGTAATGTTTGCATTTTTTTTTCTTTTCTGTCAGACGAGCATGATGTGACACTGGCAGGTGTGTGCATGCTGAAACCTGAACCTGACTGCACAGATATGTAGAAGCTAGATCACCAAGAAACCATTTATTTGCAGAGGCCTGGGCCATATATCTGTCAGTAAATACATATCACTTAAAAAAAAAAATTAGAAATCAAACCAGCGCTTCATGGAGCAAACTAACAATGAGCCTTCACTTAATAACCTAGACAATGGTACCAGGCCCACAGACCCTGAGTGCAGGAAGCCCAGTGAATCGGAACACTCATTGTCCAAGATAACACAGAATGCTCTGGAGAATTTTGGCTCCCTGGGCCAGGGATTAAAGCATCTCTTTCACCCCCAGCGGCGGCGATCTTCTGTCTCCCCCCAGGATGGCCTCCATGCTCAGGCTGACCAGGAGTCCCCGAGTCCAGAGACTTCCAGCCCAGCCACTGAGCTGGGCTTACCTGCTCCGTCCCACCAGCCCCCCAGCCAGGCTACTACGCTCAACAGGGTCCTGCAGCAGATCCGGGTGGCGCCCATAATGAAGCGTGGTTCGAGCCTGCACAGCCGAAGAAGCAAGTTGGACCCTCCCCGAGGCAGCCCGCAAACGTCCCACAAGCCGGCCTCGGATGGTATGAGCTGTCTCCTGTCGCACTCCAGTAGACCCCGATCTGCTTCGACCACCGATGCGCCGACATCCTCGTTGTTTGTGGAGCCGGTGACCTTCAGTCCTCATGTGGGAGATGAGCTGGATCGGGTAATTGCTTTCTCTTTATCGTTGTGCAAGTCTCTGTGCTGGTGAGAGACTCTGAGCAGTTGCTGAGTGTTAAAGCCCTTTGTGAGGCAAGCATCGTAAATTTGCTGCACTTTGAGTAGCTGAGGTGTCTGTGTTGATGTGTTTGCAACAGATCCCCAAATCCCTGCACTGACTGTAGCACTAAACCTTTGACAAACGGGTTTGTGTGTTCATCTAAGAAGGAGGTGCTGTTCACGAATAGTGATGCGGGCACTCTGTGTTCCTCAGGGCTGTTAGAAATCAGCGCTTGCTGATTATATTGAGGTGCTAACTTGGAGGGCTTACTGAGCCTGCTGCTGTGTGAAGGAGCTGAATTGGCCAGAGTGACTGTTAACCAATGACGATGAGATATAGTGAGGAAAGTTTTAGCAAAGAACTGTAGCTCGGGTTGCGGTTAGAGTTGTTGGTTGGTTTGCCGAGCTGACTGGTTTTCATGCAAACATTTCATTTCCATTCTAGGTGACATCTTCAGTACTGTGTAGTCTCCATTGAAGCGCTGTTCTGTCCTGCTGTGAATTTATGTGGTCCGGTCTGTCATTGTGGGAGTCTTGTTTCCAGTTTTGTACAGTACCGGTATGTAGATGAGGTCTATTTCAACATGTTTGTTTATTGCATCAGTAGTTGAAAACCAGGCCTCCACGAATTCTTTGTTTTGCTTGTCCTAGTACTGTAACTTTGTCCCAGTTAAACTGATACACTCTGGCATAGAAGGATATTAAAACGAGGGAGAGTTGTTCATGCCGTTTTGCTGCTAGTTAGTGTTCATGTATACTGGTGACAGGTTCCCTGCCTGTCTGTCCTATGTATTGCTTCTCGCTGTTGTTGCATGGTATTTTGTGTATCACATTTGGCCTGCTTACTGTGGGTATGTGGTCTTTGGTCTTTGCGAGTAACTGGCGAAGCGGTACAATACGGGGAAACAAGACTGCCCACTATGACAGACTGGACCATATAAATTCAGAGCAGGACAGACCAACAGTGCTTCAATGGAGGCTACACAGCACTGAAGATGTCACTTAGAAGGGAGACAAAACATTTGCAAGAAAACTAATCAGCTCAGCGAACCAACCAATAACTCAATAACTCAGTATAATGAGAAAATGCAAAGACCAGGAAATAGTTTGAAATTGGGTCTCTTTTTGTTGGCGATTGTGACGAATATCATGATTAATATTGCAAAGGGACTTATAGTCAACATGAACAGGGCATTTCCCGTGTCTGAGGGGCTTGAGTCAGAGACCACATCTACAAGATTAAATGGGAGGTTTTGAGTCTATTGAAACCTTTCTTTACAAATATGGATTTTCTTCAGCTGGTGGTTTGCTGTACCTGAATGCTACATCACATTATAGTCAAGATGTTCATTTAAACCCATAAAACATAGGAGCGGAAGTAGGCCATTTGGCCCATTGAGTTTGCTTCCCCATTCAGTGAGATCAAAGCTGATCTGTTCATCATCAACTCCATTTTCGCACTTTAATCCCAAAATCTTGATTACCTCACTGAATAAAAATCTGTCTATCTTTAATGACCCAGCCTGGACATCCCTTTGCGGTAAAGGATTCCACAGATTCACTACACTCTGAGAAAACAACTTCACTCTAATTTCGATTTTAAATGTGCAACCCCTTATTCTGAGACTAGGTTTGAGACTTTACAAGCATAAACTAGCTCTCCACATCTACCCTGTCAAGTCCCTGAAGAATCTTGTACGTTTCAATAAGGTCTCCTCTCATTCTTCTCCAATGAGTACAGGCCCAAACTTTCCTCCCGAGGAAATCCCTCCATACCCGGGATAATCATACTGAGCTTTCTCTGGGCTGACTCCTGTGCCAGTTTACCTTTTCTCAGATAATGGGACCAAAGCTCTCAGAATTCCAGCCACGCTCTGACTAGTGCCTTGTATAGTTTAACAAAGCTTCCTTTTTCTTCTCCTCCATTTGAAATAAAGGCCAGGAATACAGTAGTCCTCCCCATTACCCACTAAACGTGGATGCTAGTTTTTGTGATTCGTGTATGAGGACCTCCCTCACCCTACCACCCAAATGTCTCTGTGCTGCAACTTTCTGCTGTCTTTCTCCGTTTAAATAGTATCCACCTCTTCTGTTTTCTCTGCCAAAGTGCATCATGTCATATTTTCCAAAATGTATTTCCATCTGCCAGGTTTTTACCCACTCACTGTTATATATCCTTCTGCGGACCATTTATGTCATCCACACTGCTTGTCTTCCCACCTAGTTTTGTGCCATCTACAGACTTGACATTTGAGTCACTAACATATATTGTGAATATTTGTCGCCCCAGCACTGATCCCTGTGGTACTCCACTGGTTACAGGTTGACATCCTAACTCTCTGTATTCTATTAATTAGCCAAACCTCTATCCATGCTAATACACTGGTCCCAATACCATCGGCTCTTATCTAATTAATTAGTCTGAAGTGTGGTACTTTGTTGAATGCCTTTTGCAAAAATGTAAACCGTATAGTACTGGTTCCCCTTTATGTCTCCTACTTGTTACTTCCTTTGAAGAACTGAGATAAATTTGTCAAGCATTATTTCCTCTTCATCAGGCCCTGCTGACTCTGTTTGACCATGTTTGTGTATTTCTGAATGCACTGCTATTACATCCTTTATTATGACAGATGTTACACTAACTGGTTATAGCTACTTTTTTTGTGTCTCTCTCTTTTGAATAAGGGTATTGACAGCTGTCTAGTCCCCTGGGGCTTTCCCAGAAAATAAGGATTCCTGGAAGATTCCTACCAGTGCATATATTACCTCTGTAGCTACTTCCTTTTATTCTTGCCAACGCATTTATCTGGTCCCAGGGACTTACCGGTCTTTAGCCCCAACAGTTTTCAAAGTACTTTTTTTCTGTAATGATAGTTGTTGTGTTTATTCCCCCAACCCATTGTATTAGTATTATTGAAATGTTGTTAGTGTCCACTACCTGAGATTTTAGCAAACGCTCCCTCATGCAATACATATCTCGGTGTGAATGTGCATTTCAGAAAACTCTCCAGTAAAAGGGGGTGATGAAAAGATTGTTGAATGTGTGATTGAGAACTCTTGGCACATTCCCACTGACAGCTTGTCTTCGACTGCTTCTAGGGAGCTGTTATTGGTCAAAAAAGGCCAGCCTCTCACAGAAACATAGAAAATAGGGGAAGGAACTGGCCACTCAGCCCATCAAAACCATTCCACCTTTCTGCACAATGTTGGTCGAATAGCTTAGTCAACAGAGCACTGTCCTGATATCCCGTGAAACCATTAGCTTCTAGAAATCTTTCCTGAATATATTCAGTGACTTGGCCAACACAGCCTTCTTTGAGAGAGAATTCTACAGGTTTACAGCCCACGTAAAGAAATTTCTCCTAATCTCAGTCTGAAATGGCCTACCATGTTTCTTGAGATGATGACCCCTTGTTCTGAACTCCTCCCTCCCCAGCCAGGGGGAAATATCCACTATGCACCCAGTCTGACCTGCTGTGTCGGAATTTGACATGTTTCAAAGTACTTCCTGAGTGCTCTGGCCACGAATGATGGATAGTCCTGTCTTGTGAGCCTGGGATCTGTCTTTGCCCAAACCCCTAACATCGGCCTGAAGGGGAACTTTCAACATTGCAGTGTCCTTAACCTCAAAGTGGCAGTCTGTGAAGCATAAAATAATATTTAAGCCCTTCCAGATGTCCAGGTTTATTCTGCCTTCTGGGCAAATACAGCTTTCCTGTACTTTGGCTTCTTCCCATTCATACAGAATCAATGTTTTTATTATTGTCAGTTTAACTTTGGTGTGGAAGTTTCTGGGGAACAATTATTCAGGATTGAATGATTAAATACAAGGAAACGTGGGTTGATTAAGAAGGATCAGTATGGACTTGAGGGAGAATTGAGTTGAACTGATTTGCTGGAGTATTTTTGACAAGCTAACAGAGAAATGGTGAGAGTAATGCTGTTGATGTCATATATGTGGACTTCCAGAAGGCGTACGATGCAGTGTGGATACAAAATTGGCTGAGTACAAGGAAACAGAGTAATGGGTATTTTTCAGGCTGACGGAAGATTTGAATTGGAGTTCCCCAGAGGTTGGTATTGGGCTTCTTGGTTTTTCTGATGTATATTAATGATCCAGATCTTGGTGTGCAGGGGGAAATTTCAGAGTAGATTAGAGTTAGATTTATCGTCACCTGTATATAAAAAAAAAGTGAAAAGTGCTTTCTCACATGTTATTGGAAAGTGTTACCAAGCTGCAGTGCTATCTCGAAACATTGAATGCAATGCAAGATTTTACTGCAGTAGGGTTCAGCTTTCTCTCGTTCCTCTTCCGCTGCTTTTCCTCCAGTCACTGGCAATTACCACAATCTCTGTAACGGGCTCCTGGGATCTCGGCTATGGGCTTCCCTGCTCCCACAATCACAGCTGCTGGAGCCATGGGCCTGGGGATGCACAGGCTCCGTACCTCCTGTTCCCAATCTGAAGCTCTTCCGGTTACCGCCGTCAGTTGTCGGGGTCCTCCACCATCCCGTTTGCCGATGCCCCCGCTCTTTCAGGGGCCCAGGCCTAGACACAGACCACGGCTCAGCCTGCGAGTCCAGGCCAGGGGAGTCAGCCCAGGACCCGAAGTATACAGATGGTACAAAACTTGGGAGCATTGTAAACCACGAAGAAGACAGTGGAGAACTTCGAAAGGACGTGGACAAGTTGATAGAATGGCTGAATAAGTGGCAGGTGAAGCTCAATACAGAGAAGTGTGAGGTACTACCATTTGGTGCAAAATACATGGACAAACGTTGTAAAATAGGGGCTGCTAGACTAAAAGGTGTGCAGCAGCTGAGAGCCTGAGGTGTGTATGTGTGTAAGTTATTGACGAGGCAGGTAACATAGAAACTTAGAAACTAGGAGCAGGAGTAGGGCATTGAGCCCTTTGAGCCATCTCTGCTGTTCAATGGCTCATTCTCTATCTTGGTGCCATATTCCTACATTCTCATACCCCTTGACATCTTTTAAAATGTAAATTTATCTATCTTGTTCATGAATATGCTCACTGACACAGCCTCCACAGCCTTCTGTGGTAGCAAATTCTCTCTACCCTTTGAGTGAAGAAATATTTCCTAACCTCAGTCTTAAATGGTCTACTCTGTATCCTGAAATTGTGTTGCCTGGTTCTGGGTTCCCCAACCAGGGGGAGCATTCTCCCTCCATAGAGTCTGTCCAGCCATGTTAGAGTTTAACGTGTTTCAGTCAGCTCCCCCATCATTCTTCTAAACTCTAGAGAATACAGGCCCAGTTGAACCAACCTCTCCTAATACAATAGTCCTGCCATCCCTGGTATCAGCCTAGTGAACTCCTGCTGTAATCCGTCTTTGGCAAGTTTATCCTTTCTTAGGTAGGGAGACCAAAACTGCACACACTACCCCAGCTGTGGTGTCACTAAGGCCCTGCAGAGAGAGCTTTTAATAAAGCTTTCAGTATTCTAGGCTTCCTTAATAGTGGCAGAGAATACAAGGGCAGGGAGGCTACGCTGAATAGATACTGGTTAGACCTTGGCAGGTATTTTCTATATGTTTCTTC